AATGTTGGCATTTCTAGAAAATCCCTAGGATCCATAAATTTATTTCTGTAAGTTGTTAATTCTATTGCGCGTTAGAGTATACAGAGGTGCAGCATCGTGCAGCGCTCAATCCAAATGTTACAAAATTTGATTGACAGTTGTTTATCCATGCCAGTGCATGTTAACAAATTATACAAATACAAATACATACAGGTTATACAAATTATATCAATCGATAATTTATCAATATTTTACTTTATATGTTTATATGAACTATTATAATGAAAGATGTATCTACCGTGCTCCAGTGTTGGTACATGTAATCTAGCTAATTTTTTTTCGGCCATTTCGTTATATAATAAATTTTGTTACAAATAAAAATAATTAACTCAAAGTTAACATGCATTAGCATGGATAAACAACTGTCAATCAAATTTTGTAACATTTGTATTGAGCGCTGTACGATGCTGCACCTTTGCATACTCTAAAGGCCCGTCTACAATACACGGAGTAAGAAGAGTAAGAAATTGACCAATCACAGTCGATTATTCTTCTCACATTCGACTGTGATTGGTCAATTTCTTACTCTTACTTCTTACTCCGTGTATTGTAGACGGGCCTTAATGCGCAACAAAATTAACAACTTACAGAAATAAATTTATGGATCCTAGGGATTTTCTAGAAGATCCAACATTCGTCCGCCATTTTTTATGGATTTTGTCCGGTAACCGCCAGAACATCCTTAAAACTCTATTGTAGATCCTGGGTAAAGTCGCATGATGCTTACGACGCTCCCGACACTACGATACGACCAATGTAAAATAGTCTTTACGCTTTTACTGGAAAAGCGATAAATTGGCTCTCGCGACAATTTTCGTCGCGCAGCAAGTTTCTTTGGCGCATTCTGTGTGCAGAAGCCATATAACGCATAATATAAATATTATGATATAAGTAGGTATTTTCTGTCACGAATTAAATATAGATCGACCTTTGTATATATACATTAAAATGGATATGCAAAACAAAACACAATTCTGACATTCGTACTCTCAGTCTCTCAGCAAATTTCCCGGCATTTTCATTAACTAATTTCACTTCTTTCAGTTAATAAGTATTACGGCGATTTTTATTAACGATATGCAGAATGATATAAATGTTTACTGATTGTTTAGTAATTGTCAAAGCAGAGGACAAAGATTATCGAGATATCTAAAATCTGGAGCAGGCCACGTATGGCCAAACAAGCCACAATGTTATCACTCGTCTCATTCAGAAGTATAAACTTATTGGATTAATTCTAAGTAAAATCGTAATGTTTAGAGCTGTAATTCTATGCATACCTTAAAACGTGTAATTATTATTTATAAAAAATCGTAGATATAAATATATCTATGATTTCTTATAAATCTTATTACTAGCAAGAAGTTATCTGTGCAGTAAAGATAAGCACAAAGTATAAAGTTAAGTATTCTACTCATTCTCAAAAGTTTTATGAGAACAAGTTATAATTCTTCTTATTGATCTATATATCAAGTGATTTAGAAATTTTCATTGTAATTAATTTCTTGTAACAAGCAGATGCGCAACTGACTCACATTTCGTGTAATTGTATCATTGCAAGCAATATTGCAAACGATACAGTAAAATGTCTGTTACTCTTGAAAAATTACATGGGACATCTTACATTATTCCTAAAAAGATTAAAAGATAGAAAGATTTGCCTTTAAAGAATTAACATTCTCACAGTAAACTGGAGGAGTCGACAACGCGGCGCGATGATGACAACTTCTCTCTGGTAACTGTAACAAGCGTTTCCCTTCAGGAGAGCACAGGCAGCACCTTCACTGAGTCAGTCTACACAAATTGGGAAGAAAAATTTGCCTGTCACTTATTACAGGGCCAAGGTCGCGTTTTTAGCTATCGAAAGAGGAGGACTTACTTCGGCGATGGAGTCTTCAGCGCACCAGCTGGCGTCTGTCCGCGTCATGTTACTTCGTCAGTCATTCGTCGTAATACAGGTCGAATGTTAAACGCAATTGTTATGACTTTTATTTTGAAAAAATAGAGGTGACTTCCATAATTCAATCTGCAAATGGCGTGTTTGAAATGGAAAGTATACATTCTTTGTTTTGTCTCTTCACTTACTTTCGACGAGATAAAATATGTGAATACGTAGCAAATTCCGTTTTTTTCGGAATGAATGAATAAAACATGGAAACATTCCATTACAGGCGATTCTCGGCTTGTATTTGTTTGGCCGCAGAAAACCAGCCGGAGTCGACTCTCGAATGTCCTTGTACCCCTTCTACGTGGTATCCTAGTTGGACTATTATTTATAGACGCTCTTCACTTATGGCCTGGAGAATTCTTACCCACATGTCTTCCGCCGACAATGCCAATTACTCTACCGCCGGTCAAATGTAATGTCATTGAGCCGCGTTGGTACGATAATAACTGAATTTTTGCATCGCCTAATCACGTTCGCATAAATATATGTTTGCGATACCGCGAATATAATTTTATTAAAACATTATACAATCTTCGATAAAAAAAATTATTTCGCTTGAAGGCTTTTTGATCTTTTTAATTACATTTGGAATTTGTTTTTATTACGAAAAAAGACTTGCATTCGGAAAAACAGTTTTGCACAGTTTCAAGTTGAATGAAGACAATGGTCTCTATGATCTAAATTTAAGAAGTTGTATATACATGCTTGGGTCTCATAATTAAAGTTTGTTTATATATATTATGAAAGGTAATAATTCAGTAACGTCCGTTTAGTAATCCGATGGCACTCTATAGAATTGTAATTATGATTGAATATGTGAGTTAAACGATAAAAAATTCAACTCCAAACAAAATATTATTGATAACGAGAGTTTTACGTAATTTTTGAATAAATTGTAAAATTTGTTTATATCTGCTTTTTCACATTTCTGTATCACTTGCGATGATTTGCATTTTTTATTATAGCAAAAGAAATATTTTTTATACTTGTCATGTCATAATAATGTTGCAATCAATTTATAAAATAAATACACATATGTGCGATTATAATATTACATGCGATTATAATATAACAAAATGGTGAATTTGTCAAGAAAGACTGAAATTAATTTACTTTCGAATAAAAAGTATGCAAAGCAGTTGCACGATGGTAGAATAACTTCTCTTGAAAATAGGTAAGAACGAACGTTTGTACAGGATGTCTATAAAATCTGACCCAGGCCCTATATCTTGGAAACGGTTATAGATATAGAAAAATGTTTTATAAGAAAGTATAAATGTTTATAGGATATTAAGGGGAATGTATGATGAAAATATAAACTTGACCTTGAATGACCTTCTCAAGACTAGGTCAACGTGACTGATATTTTCATAAATGGAATCCCCTATTTTTTATTGCATATTCTTGTAGCTCAACCCAAGAACTTTTCAAAATACTACAAAAAAAGTTAATTTTCATTAAGTGCTTGTTGAATTATGAGGATTGAGAGTTATAGTACCGCCATTATTAGTATTACTTAGAGACTCTCTAATCAGAGTCGCAACACGAGATAATTTGAGTGAACTTTTGTATGCAGGGTAGCAGTTTTAACAAAATTGATAACAGACCCTGGTGAAAATTTTTCTTAGAATTTTTTATATAAGTTTTCAGAATTTCTATATAATTTTGTAACTTTCTCACATTTTTAATATAAATTAAAACATTTCTCGGAAAATCTACGTCTTTTCTCAGAATTTTATATAATATATTAATTATGAAATATCGAAGATTTCTGAGATTTTTTGTAAGTATAATCTCTGATAAAATGTTATAAAATCTAAAAAATTTTTAAATATTTTTTTTAAATTATTGAATGAGAAATTTCAGACTATTTCAGAATTCATTGTTATATAAAAAATTTTAAGAGAAAATTTAAACTTTCTGAATCATCATCATCCAGCCTTTTGTTTCGTCCACTGCTGAACATAGGCCTCCTCTATTGTTCGTCATTTTTTCCTATCCTGCGCTGTGCCAATCCAATTTGTTGCTATTCTTTTCAGGTAGTCGGTCCATTGACTTGGTGGCCTTCCTATTCCATTCGTTTGTCCATTCTCGGTCTCTATTCCAAGAGCCTTTTCATCCTTCTTTCATTCTGACTACGTCCAGCCCATCTCCATTTTTGTTTTGTTATATGCTTTATAATATCTTTAATCTTAGTTCTTTGTTTCAGATCTTCATTTCTCACTCTGTCCCGCATAATTATTCCTAACATTGAGCATTCTATTTTGTGTGATTTTTAATTTAGTTGCCGATGACTTAGTGTCAGAGTTTCTGCTCCGTATGTTAACACTGGCAGGATGCACTGATCAAATATTTTTCTTTTCAAACATACCGGTAATTTGCTTTTAAACGTTTTTCTGAGTTTTCCATATGCTGGCCAGCCCAAAGATATTTTTCTCTGCAATTCGTATGTTTGATTGTCTTTGTTGATTTTGATTTCATGACCAAGATATATATATTTTTCAACTATTTCTATTTCTTGTTGTTTAATGGTGATATTTTGACTAGGAACTAGGTTAATCATCATTTTTGTTTTGCCAATATTCATATTCAAGCCAACTTTTTCTGTTGCTGCTTGGAGCTCCATAGTCATTTCTCTTGCTTTTCCCAAATCATCGGCTATAATAACAATATTGTCGGCGAAGCGGAGGTTACTTAGATATTCTCCATCGATTTTTATTCCTTTATTATGCCATTCTAGTGTTTTAAATGCGTATTCCAGAACGGTGTTGAATAATTTAGGTGACATTGGATCGCCCTATCTAACTCCTCGTCCAATTTTTATGTGTTTACTATTGGTGTATGATTTTACTGTTGTTGTTGTTTGTTGATAAATATTTTATGGATAATTTTTGTATACCGGTAGTTGATTTGACATTCCTTTAGTGCTATTAGTATATTATTGTGTTCTATTGTATCAAAAGCTTTTTGAAAATCTACGAATAATGACACCAATGGTCTATTATACTCCACTGATTTTTCTATTAATACCTTCAGACTCTGTAGGTGATCGTTGGTTCTAAAGTTTGAACAGAATTCAGCTTGCTCTCTTGGCTGGTATAAATCTAACTTGTTTTCCATTCTTGTTGTTATAATTCTAGTAAAAAGTTTGTAAAGATGATCCAATAGGCTAATCGGCCGATAATTCTCTAGATTCGTTTTATCGCTTTTTTTATGGAGTAGGATCATCACCGCATTATTCCATCTATAATAAATGGTGGCATCCTGGAGACATAGGTTAAAAAGTGTTTCTATTTTTTTCATTATTATTTCTCCTCCAATTTTGATAGCCTCTATGACGATCTCATCGTCGCTTGGCGACCTATTATTTTTCATTTTTCTAAGAGCATTCTGGATTTTTCCTGTAGTTATTTCGGGTATGTCTTCGGATTCTTGATTCAACACTCCTTTTTCTGCTGTTATGAGTAATAGTGTTGAGTTTTCGTTTCTGTGACTTCTGCACAGTTCTTCATAGAATTTCTCCACTATTTCAATTAATTTGTTCCTGTTGTGTTCTATTCCATTGTTTCTGTTCTGTAGCTTCACTATTTCAGTTTTGCCCTTAGCCAGATTTCTTTTTAATACTTTGAGACTTCTGTTCTCTTCTATAGTTTGTCTGGTATTTTTTTAAGTCTATATTGTCGAAGATCCTCCCTGATTGCTTTGGTTGTTCTTTTGTTTATCTCTTTGAATTCTATTTTACTTGCTTCTTTGTTACTGATTAGAAGTCTTCTTTCTTCTATAAGCTTTCGTGTGTTGTGGCTTATTTTCTGTTCTCTTTTCTTTCCTGGGCAATATTTCTTTCGAGCTTTTTGTATGGTTTCCATTATTGTATTATTTAGTGTATCTATGCTATCTCCTCCTATTAGTTTGTTCTCTAATGCTGTACTGATATAATTTTGGAACTTTTCTATATTTTGTGGGTTATTCCATGATCTTTTATTCGTTTTTCTTATCATTTTGTATCTCTCTTTCCCTAATGATATATTTAATGTAGCTCTTACCATTCTATGGTCGCTGCTGGTAGTAAACTGATTTAATACTGTAACGTCTTGAAATATTTCTTTTTTGTCAGTGATAAAATGATCTATTTTATTTTTGGTTCTTCCGTTTGGGCTTTCCCGAGTCCATCGTCTGTATTTCTTCTTGAAAAAAAAACTATTCATTTGGTATTGTCCATTTCTCAGTAGGAATTCTAATAGTTGTTTGCCTCTTTCGTTTCTACTTTCTGTCCCGAAGTTTCCTAATGCTGTTTCCATTGGGTCTGTTTTTAAACTAATTTTTGCACTGAAATCTCCGTACGTAATTGTGAAATGACTAGAGTATTCTTCCATTGTTTTTAGTATATCATCGTAAAAAAAATCTCCGTCTCTTCGCTGTGTAGTCCGTAGTTGGGACCATACGATTGAATGATTTTCAAATTATATCTGCTAGTTTTAAAATCAAATATGCAACTCTAGTAGAAATTTATTTTATGGCTGATATATCTGAAAATCTCTTATGAGTAAAGAAGCCTACTCCTCCTACTGATTCGTTTTCTTCCCCTGTATGATAGAATTTGTGGCTCGATCTTAATGTTATCAGGTTTTTTCCGCGTTTTTTCACCTCGTTAACTCCAACGATGTCCCATTTGATCTTTAACAGTTCCATTTCTGACTCCTCGAATCTTTCCTCTGAGACCAGTGATCTGGTATTGTATGTTGCAATCTTTAGGTTGATAGTCCTCTTATTTTTGGCGCATTTTTTAGGAATAATCAAGTTTTTGTCCCCCCCCCCCCC